AGTAGTAGTAGTAGTAGGAGTAGCACTAGTTAGAAGTTCTAGTTCTAGTAGTAGTGGTAGTAGTAGTAGTAGTCGTCGTCGTCGTCGTCGTAGTATATAGTAGTAGGTAGTTGTCGTCGTTGTCGCCGCCGCCGCCGTCGTCGTCGGCATTATAGTAGTCAGCAGCAAGCAGCAGTACTCGTAACCTTATAGTAACCGTCATCGACTAGCTAAGTGTTGACAGTTTTGATGTCGATAAAGCACAATGACAATATGCACACCGAACATTGGCAGCAATGCACAGCACGCCTCTGAATCGATGCCATGGCTTCTTGCGCTTTTTACGCCTCAGGTGCTGTATCAGTGATTGCACAAAATGGCATGCAGCCAAACCTGGGTGTTCGATCATCCGTCGGGACCTCGCGTTGCAGCCTCCAGCTTAAGTAGCTATGCTTGTCAGTGCTGATTTCAAAAGCATGCGTTATGAGCCAAAATCCAAATATAGACATGGAGCGATCTGTGGCAGCAGCCGGAGCAGTGCTCCGCATGGAGTCAGCATGCCTGGATCTTGTCTCCTTTGCAGAGCCTTGGGGGACAAGCTCTGGACGTGGTTCAAGGGCACGCACAGCACACTCCAAACTCCGACAACTTCATGCTCGCTTCGTGAAAAACAACAAAAGTTTACATGACTGCTCTGTGTCTACCGATCTTGCGACTCCTTTGTTCATTTCGGGGGCACACGAAACTGCTTTCGCCCTCCGCTCTCTCCCCTCCCTTTGTCCAACACGGCGTTGCTCAACTGGGCTTTGTTGGATCAAGTTGGCCCCCAAGCACCACTCCGACGGGCAAAGTGACGTGCTGGAGTGGTGGCTCAGCCGTAACAACAATCATTTCACGAGTTCTGTGTCCCTCCTCGTGTTCAATTGCGTCTTTTGGTGACACTCTGATATACACTCTCTTTCTCTATCTGTGGCTGGGATTGGCAGGTCAGTGCCTGCCAACCTGCTGGTACGCACCCTGTCTCTAATTGCAAGTCGACTCCGCGTTCGAGGCCGAGCAAGCACTGCAGCTGCTTCCAAGAGTCCCTGCCATCGCGTCGGCGACCCCTCCTCATTCAATAAACTTGCTCTGTGGCACACATGCATGTCTGAAATCATACAGACTTCATATTCGCAGCCCCAACTGCTATCCATGTCCAATCTTTCCTTGACACGAGGAGACCGTTACGGTACTACGCATTCCACTGTTCTACGACACTACGACCTACGACTCCCGCTGCTGATTCTGCTTCTTGGGTGTCTCCTACCCAGCAACAACAGCAGCAGCGACACTACAACAACAACTGCTGTCCTACTACTACCGCCTACTACCGCTACTACGACTACGACCACGACCACGACGACTACTACGACGACCGGCGACAACTAGTATAGTACTCCAGTGTTACGACTCCAGTAGCACCAGTAGCGCTGGTAGTGCTAGTGCTACTCACAGTACCAGTTCTACTACCGCTACCACTCCTACTACTACCACTACCTCTACCGCTGTCCTACTCCTGCTTCTATCCCAACCATCATCCTCATTAAGGTTCCATGGGACACGGCATCACGTTGTGGCCATGATTGGCCATGTTGCAAAACCTTGTGCTTTGTGACGGCCGTGGCATCGACTGTCATCGTCGTAGCCATCATTATTGCCATCCTCTTCTCCTTTGCTCCCCCTCCTCCTCGTCACCCTCATCATCCTCATCACCCTCATCATCCTCATCATCATCATCATCCTCCTCATCATCATCCTCCTCATCGTCATCCTCCTCATCATCATCACCATCATCTTCATCATCCTCACCATCATCCTCACCATCACCATCACCATCACCATCACCATCATCAATGTCGCTCGCCATCACAATCGAAGCATCCAGTCTTACTGTGACAATGATGCTCACCACGTCGTAACCACGCACGATTCTGTCAGAGCTTAGGCTCGGCTGCCGGCTCATCCCCCGCATTGCGGTACTGCTTGCTGCCTGAACCGCAGCGGACGGTGATTGTCAGCCTACAGTCTAGTTGCTTGATCTAGTTGGACAAGAGACCTCGTCTGGCGGAGTCCGAGTTGCGAGAGCGTAAGTGTCTAAAGTCAAAGGCTGCAGCGTAGCAAGGTTACAATTCACAGTGTTGCAAATCAACAATCTGTTCCGTTGAAGGCCGGGTGCACGATGTGTGGTTCGGAACGAAGGCGTTATCTGAGACACAGGCACAGCACATGGACAAGCCTCGTACGCGTTTGTACAACCAGAACCGCAGATTCAGCAGCCCCTGCCCAAAAGCTGAAGCTGGGTGCCCTTAACGCTAGGGACGGCGCCCACTTCACGGACACGAAGCTGCGGTTCACCACGCGCCTCGGCCTGACAGCTGTCAGCTCTCACAGGACTCTCACGGGTCCAACCTTTTGTCCCTCCTGCTTAGCAAGGACAAGCCTAGTATCGAAGGTTGAGGCTTCAATGAAAAAACTATCCTCGTGGGATTGTAGAGTTGTAGAGATTGGGGGACGCAGGACTCTGACCTCTCAGGTGCAGCCTCTATATGTCTGCGAAGACCATGCTGTTCGCACCGGCTGCCCACAACATGCATGCAAAGCCTCCTCCCCTCCTCCTCACCCCGAGGGCTTCAGTACCAAAGCGACACGGAAACAGCCAACCCACCCGCGGCTATCCCTCACCCCCGATATACATGCACAGCTCCTTGGAAGGTTAGGACGGATGTGGCACTACGACTTAATCTTGAACTGCGACTTAAGTGTTCGCAGGCACGTCTGCGAGCACGCGCTCCCACCATCGAGTAGAAATGACATCTGCCTGCTGCCCTGTTGAGTCCGGGCTAGATCCACCTCGAACTGTCTGGGACTCTCTCGTGCCTTGTAGATGTTTGTATCAGCATGCCCTTGAGATCCCCTGGGCCTGTTTGTTGAACTGGCTGGAGGTGACGGAATCCGTCACTGACGGCTGGGACCAATCGTAGATGCCGTCGTTCTCGTAACCTCGGAAAGGACCCTGGCTTCACTACGCGCAGCGGCTTGCAGCACTCGCCTTCATGCTGGGCTTGACATAGGGGCAAAACCGCGAGTGCATGCATGTGGCCTAGATGCTTTCAGAAGCTATCTGCATTTGAGCGGTATTCAAAAACACGTCTAAACACTAGGAAAAAGCTACACAGCCCTGACACGCCCCAAACTCTGAACTTGCCTTCCTT